ATCATCAAGCCAAGGGCCGTCCAATCGTGCTTGAGCTAAGGTAAGGTAATGTACGGCGTAAGGTAGGTAGGTAGGTAGGTACCTGAGGTACCTCAAGGGGAGGGATGTATCTTACGTGGCTGAGGTGGCATGCATGCGTGCCTCTAGAGCTAAGGTAGTGTTGGTATTGCCAGTGCCACAGGTACGTGTTCGTTCGGGCTGTCATTCTCAGCCTGAAGAACAGGTTCCGGAGGCCGCCCGAACTCTGGAGTTCAATCACAGATGCAAACCTCGAAATCTCGAAAAGCAGCCACGGGACGGGTTAGCCAGGATTCGGGAGCCCCAAGCCGACGCAACGGAGACGTACGGGAGCAGACTGCAGACTGTGGAGAAGCTGGCCCACAACTCTCCGTGACACACCACACTGCACCTGCACACCCGCGTTGTGTTGCCCCTCCCCCCTCTCCCCTCCAAGTTCCACGCCTTCCAGTCCATCCTTGGTCCTTGGTTCGCAGGCAGCGTATTGGATATCAATTACTCTTCCCTTGCAAATACATACATGGCTTGGCCCTTTCTCCCTCTGACCGCAAACTCGTCCAACCAGCGGACCAACCAAGCTACCGCCTACCTACGGATACACTACCTAGGTAGTCAACTGCCAACTAATAAACTGCTTCCAATTATCTATTCCAGGCCCACCTTGAATGCTCACTCCACCCAAGGCAACTAGCGTCCCGTCTTTCAGCTACGAGATGCTCCGGCCCCCCGCGATAACATGGCCCGAACAAAACACAACTGACAGGGTCGGGCCTCGTTATCTTAGGACGATGAGGCAATCCAAGATGCTCTGCACCTTACCATCTGCCATTTCTGACCCGTCCTGCACCACCGACCCCAACTTCCCACTCATGTCCAGCTAAACAGACACCCTTCCCGCACCCCTCCTTGACACCCCCCCAATTCAAGTACACCCCGGTTCTCTCCCTATTCCTCCTCTATCCCGAACCCGCACAAGGGTCTTCTCCCGTTCATCGAACCCGAGATAATATCGTGAAGCGCGCAGCAACGGCAAACCAACCACTGTCATTGCTGCCCTCGCCCCCGCGACTCCACAGGCCGCGCCCGTTCTTATAAGTGGAGGACCCCGTTCGGGCCCTTCTATCCTCGGTTCCGGCCTGAGCAAGCCACGAAGCAGCCTTGTCTACATCACCCTACCTACACGCTCACACTCCTCCAAGTGGATACGATTCCTTTTTGGATCCCTGAAAGCGGAAGAGAACACAAGCCTCCAAGCCTTTCCAAGCCTTCAACACCCGACTTCTTTCATCCCTCAGAATCTTTTATAACCATGAAGGATCCCGTCCAACGCAGTGCCTCTCCCTACACTGATCCAGCAGTAAAGGGCCCAAAGTCACAGATTCTCGCAGAAGGATACCAGGCAGATTTACGCAAAAGTTCGTCTCCTCTTCCTCGCCTCCTCGTCTAGTCACCTCCCCCAACCCTCCACCCGACTTCTTCCACTTAGACGCAAACCTTGTTTGCGTCTCGGACCTGAGCACCTTGATATATCCCATCGCTGCCTCCCGTTCACAGCTCATTCCTACCAAATTACCACCAATTAACATGTCGAACCTCACAGTGATTGTCAGCAACGTCAACAAGACTCCTCTCCACCCCGGTGGTGTTGCGTATGTTTGTCCTTGATACCCGCACAACCAAGAGACCAATCCAACTAACGTCCTTTCACAGCCCCCACCACGAGCACACTGAGCTCGGTATGACCAATTCCCCTTCTCGAGCCGACCCTCCTCAATGGCATACTTGCACGGCAACGAGCCTAGCTAACATGTTGGAACAGAGGAGGAGCTCCACGAGACTGCCCACATCGACTATGACCGCGTCGCTATTGTAAGATGATCGCCTCAGACATGTCGTATAAGGCACTGACACAATTCATCAGATTCCCAACCCCTCCGTTCCCGCTCTGTACGAAGATGCGCTGGTGAGTACATGCTCCAAGCAACCAGGTGGTTGCGCATTCCAGCTAACAAAGAATCGTAGGTGTACGAGACTGGTTCCGCCATCACCTCAAGTGGAGCTCTCACTGCCTACTCCGGAAAGAAGACTGGTCGCTCCCCTCTGGACAAGCGCATTGTCGAGGAGGACAGCTCCAAGAACGACATTTGGTAAGCTTGCTCCTGAACGCTTTCCGTAACGACACATTCGGTGCCCGGCAGTTTGGCTGGCGCTGACCATTCAGTGCGTAACCATTTGCTAACACGGCATTTTCCAGGTGGGGCCCTGTGAACAAGCCCATGTCACCCGAGGTAAGAGAAACCCCAAGTCGAGTCAGGATGCAGACGCAAGCTCCCAAGCAGCTGCTGCGGTTCCAGTCGGCTTCCTTTGTCCTGCCCTCAGCCCAGCCAAACCCGTCTCGACCAGCCTAGCCCTAGCTCGTTGCCTGTGCATTCCTCAGACACACGCATGCCCGCACACAGGTGCAGAACACACGTCTGGTCACACGACCATCTGTTGGCCAGCAAGACCCAGCAAAAATCACCATGGCGTCTCTTTGCAGCTTGGTTCAAATCCGAGTCAGCACGGCAGATTTCCCGCAAAGTCTTTGTGGTTGACGGATACGTCATGTTTCAGATCGACGCTGCATCTAGCAGCCGTGTTTCCACTCCCTTTGGCCCATTTTGCGCAAATATGATGCGCATTGATTGGCACGTGTGGTGGAGGGTCTCAATCGAGATGCTTTCGTCCGATGTGCGCGGGTCGGCAGCAAGCTGGAGCTGGTTGGCTGGTGTGGGCTTCGAGTTGGGCGTGCCGTTCTTGCGACGACATGGTCTCGTGCCGTGTGCGCTGTGTCGTCATAGGCTGCCGGCGCCGCCCCTCCTGTCTGCCCCTTTCGCTTTCCCCCTTCGACCCAGGAAGTGCAGGTGCAGAATGCCGGCCCCGCATTTTGGATGCAGGCCGAGCTAAACTCTACCGCCCCCTGTTGTCCTCCCCCGCAATGCTGCAGATCCACACTCCTGCTTTTCCCGGCCCTGGGCCCACATATGCACCGAGTCGACCAGTCACCGAACGAGCGCTGACATGTGAGAATTCTAGGTCTGGAAGATCAACCGTGAGCGTGCCATCGACTACCTCAACACGAGGAATCGCATCTACGTCGTCGACGGTTACGCCGGTTGGGACGAGAAGTACCGCATTCGTGTCCGCGTTATCTGCGCCCGCGCCTACCATGCTTTGTTCATGAGGAACATGCTCATTCGCCCTCCTCGCGAGGAGCTGGAGCACTTCCACCCCGACTATACCATCTACAATGCCGGCTCTTTCCCCGCCAACCGATACACCGAGGGTATGACCTCCGGCACCTCGGTTGCCATCAACTTCGCTGAGAAGGAGATGGTCATTCTCGGCACCGAGTACGCCGGTGAGATGAAGAAGGGTGTTTTCACCGTCCTCTTCTACGAGATGCCCATCAAGCACAACGTCCTCACCCTCCACTCTTCTGCCAACGAGGGCAAGAACGGCGATGTTACCCTCTTCTTCGGTCTTTCGGGTACCGGCAAGACCACTCTGTCCGCGGACCCCCAGCGTGCCCTCATCGGTGACGACGAGCACTGCTGGTCCGACCGTGGTGTCTTCAACATCGAGGGCGGATGCTACGCCAAGACCATCGGCCTGTCTGCCGAGAAGGAGCCTGATATTTTTGGCGCTATCCGCTTCGGCTCCGTCCTTGAGAACGTCGTTTTCGACCCCGAGACTCGTGTCGTCGACTATGATGATTGCACCCTCACCGAGAACACTCGATGCGCCTACCCCATTGAGTACATCAACAACGCCAAGATTCCCTGCAAGTCGGACTCTCACCCCTCCAACATCGTCCTCCTCACTTGCGACGCCCGTGGTGTCTTGCCCCCCATCTCCAAGCTGGACAGTGCCCAGACCATGTTCCACTTCATCTCTGGCTACACTTCCAAGATGGCTGGTACCGAGGATGGTGTGACCGAGCCCCAGGCCACCTTCTCCTCCTGCTTTGCCCAACCCTTCTTGGCCCTGCACCCCATGCGCTACGCCAAGATGCTTGCGGACAAGATCGAGCATCACAACGCGAACGCTTGGCTCCTCAACACCGGTTGGGTTGGTGCTGGTGCTGCCCAGGGCGGCAAGCGCTGCCCTCTCAAGTACACTCGCGCCATTCTCGACGCTATCCACTCTGGCGAGCTTGCCAAGGTCGAGTATGAGACCTACGACACCTTCAACCTGCAGGTCCCCAAGACTTGCCCTGGTGTTCCTTCAGAACTGCTCAACCCCAAGGCCGCCTGGACCGCGGGTGGCGACAGCTTCAACACGGAGGTCAAGAAGCTTGGTGTTCTCTTCAACGAGAACTTCAAGAAGTACGCGAGCGAGGCGACAGAAGATGTCGTCAAGGCTGGCCCCGTTGTTTAAGCACAGAGCGTACCTATGTTAGCGTTGCTTATTTGACGGGTGGCATGTGACGGGCTATGACAAAGTTTCTTCTTTTAATCACCATGGGTTCCGGGAAATTGGGATGTCGATGAGGAGCTCTCGACACATCGCGATGCCGCTGATGGGATCGCGGCCTTGAGGTTTTATCTACTATTAAAACAGGAGTTATGTGTTCTGGGCTTCATTTGATAGAATGAAAATGAAAGCAAATTTGAAGCAAAACAGTTGAACTGTACTAAAAGTGACGCGTACGGCATAACGCCTTGGGACATTTGATCACCTATTCACGGTTTCGAAGTCAAGATATATGACTCGACTATCAATTGGGCACCATTGTGCAAGAGGTATTTAATGTGCGGACCGCAACGATGAGGAACTATCTGGTTGTAGTGGGTTGTGCGTGTTTTTGTCGTAAGTTGGTTAGTCAAATGGCTACCGCTTTTGGGTACAAGTCATGCATTATCACATGTCCTCAATCATACCCCACGTGCCCGCAGGCAATATTTTCCCAGGTTCCACGTCTCTCCAACCGGTGTGCTTCCTCACCAGTCTCGAGATGATATCTTCTCCGCGACGATCCAGTTTACATAGCCAAGACCACGAATGTGTGCGTCTTTGCCATTTCTTACTTCCCAGCCTTCCATCCTGGCTCCGCACGATCTCATCAGCGCCTCAACCTCGTCGGGCGTTCTTGTCCTTAGCGCTGAGATGTATCCGTCGAAAACCAGGACGAACGGCAGGATAGGGACAAGGTATGTGAATATGAGCGCGTTGAGCGAACCCAACTTCCACGCATGAAGGGGAGCCAGGAGGAACACGCCAATGCCAAGGATGGCGGGTAAAATGATGGAATAGAGGTCGCGACCTTGAAGCTCGAAAATGGCGAAACCGTCCGAGGTCTCGAGCGTGTTTTTCAAGATTGCCTTGGCCAATGGGTCATCGAAATGATGGAAGGCGAGGTTGAACAAGCGGAAGATCTTCTTGTCCTTGCCGCGGTACCCAGCGAGCAGATCACGGGGCGCATTTGCGGCGTCGACGCTCTTCGGTTCGTAGCCAATGTGCTCGCTCTTGGCAGCGGCGCGCGCCCAGCTCTCAGGGTTCGGCCACAGGTCGGTCAGGACGAAGTCGACGTTGGGTTGCTTCTGAGCGGTAAGATGGCGGTTCACGGCCCGCTCGATGGCTGGGGTGGGGCCTCCCGAGCCGGCGCAAAAGTCGATGAAAGTGTAGGAGGAGAGTCGTGGACCAAGGGTTCGCTGGAGGATTTGGGCGGCGATGTGCGCGGGCGAGGCGGTTTGGAGGACGGGGAACTTGTTGACCCAGGTCGCGTGGAGGCCTTCTTGGACAAGAGCGCGGAGGAAGGACGGGAACCTGAAGGTGCGTGGGTTGTCAGCTCTTGATGGCGGAGAACGCAGGCGCACTGGTCTTTATACACACCATGGCTGGTCGTCAATCTCGAACAAGTGGAAGCGAGGGACGAGAGGGGCCATCGTGATGACGTCGGTATTCGGCCGGTTGGTGTTGCGGTACAGTTGGCAGGAAAGCTGCAAAATGCTAAGCAGCAGGTGACAGAGGATATATCGTCAAACCCTTGCAGGTGAGAGTTTCGGCATCAACGCGGCATGTGACGCGTCCGAGGCTGGACCTCAATGCACTGAGAAGCCAAACAGTGCCCGCGATCGCAAGCAACGCAGCAGATTGGACGACGTCTTGTTGAGGGTAAATCAAACAAGTGTTGGGTTCCTTGCACAGTTCGTGCCGAAGCTCCAGCAGGGACGGAAGCTATCGCACTCGCTACGGGCCCTTAACTGCCAATTGAGACAGGGACAGCTCCAGGACAGGGGTCCAGAGCCCCCGGTTCAGGGCATCAAACTCCAAATGTTCCCTTGTGGCACCCCGCCGCCAGGTCAGGTCGGATCCAATCTCCATTCCATCGTCGCATGTGAAGCAGAAGCATAATATCTACCTTAGGTAGGTACGCAGTAGGCACCTTACCTACCCAGGTGCCAGTGGCAACTCAGCCTCCCCAGCGGATTTATTAGGTACCTAGGTACCTAAGGTGAGATGGTACATGCTTGCAATGGAACCTAGGAGGTACGCAGTGGAGGTCTTGAAAGGGCCACCTCAGAGTGGAGGGGCTGGGAAGCTCCCCCCTCCCCACTGAAGCTGTGGTCCGGACCTGCGGGAACCTGTCGGGAATGACTGCCTAGGTTTCTGGCAAAGCCCCAACAGAGGCAGTCAGTTCCAACCACTTCGCTCTCACTGGACAATTCCGACACTTGAGACTCCAACCCCCGCGACCTCCGTGATCTTGCTGCCGCGTTCACTGTGTGTTCAAGGCTCAGACCATTCGGCCGTGCCTCTTAGAGCCAGTCCCCTTTGACCAGACTAAGGCGAGCCTCGGCGGGCATTTGTGAGTGCGAATGATACTCGAGGTTGATGCAACTTCTTCGACCCTGTGCCCGCATCCTCCTTCGTGCCATAGACTCGTCTGACGTGGATACGAGGCTCGACGAGCTTCAGCATCATCAGATCTCTGGAGTTAGATCGATATCAATTGGCAATCTTCTCTGTCGATAAAGAGTATCACAGCATGGGCTACCTCAACATCCCAACGGTACTCGTGGCCGGAGCAGTCGCCCTCTTTTTGTATGTCGTATTTGGACAACCCAAGCTGAGACGGAATGGCGTCCCGTTGAGGTAAGCTATAAGCCACATTTCAAATGACACGCGATTCCCGGACAAGAAGGGCGTGGAGTATCTGGACATACAAAGCCATGCTGACTGGTTTTGAGACGCCCACCTGACACATTACCGCTGGCTGGGAATGGCATCAACTTTCTGAGAGACCGCCAGAAGCTATTTGACTGGTTCACCAAGTGTGAACAGCTTCATGGCTACGAAACATTGCAGATCTCGGTTCCGAGCTTGCCGCCTGGGGTCATCATCAGTGACCCTAAGAACCTCGAATACGTGTTCAAGCATGAAGGCATCTTTGCTAAAGGCGAGTTTTTCAAGGGACGGTCGCGGGATCTGTTTGGTGAGTGCTGAGACACGGATCTGGCGGGAATCTCGGTGAGCTCATTCATCTCAGGAAATGGCATCATCAATGTAGACGGTGATTTGTGGAAGGTCCAGCGGAAAGCTGGGCTAAACTTCCTCAATACATCCAACCTGGGGGTTCTCACAGACGTTGCCTTGCCGCGGTATCTGTCCCAAAGCGTAGCTTTGTTACAAGAAAGGGCTTCGAGTGGTGTCTCGGTCGATTTACAGGGCGTATTTCACGAAATCACAACTCAGCTCATGGGAAAGATGGCTTATAACGTATGTTCATCTCGTGACCTGACACCAACGAATCTGCGATGGAGTCTGACGGTGGCTAATGAGCGTTCAGATGGAAATGCACGCCGAAGACGAGTTTGGCTTGGCCTTCGACTACGCGTCTGGCGCAACAGCCGAGAGATTTCAGAATCCTCTCTGGTTTATCACGGAAATTGTCACTGGAAGGCGATTTCGAGAATCAATCTCCATCGTCAAGTCATTTGGTCAAAGGATCGTATCAAGTGCGACGGGTGACAGTGAAAAGTGTGCTGGAAAGCCGGTCGATACGGTCTCGGCGGAAGAGGCCGTTGACAGACTGAATGATATCTCAGGGAGCCTGATCCAGTCCTTGTTGGACGCCATTGGCGATGAGCAGCTAGTTGCGGACGCCGCGCTGAACTACCTCTCTGCAGGCAGAGACACCACAGCGCAAGCCCTCACATGGACCTTTTACCTCTTGATGAAACACCCCGACGTTGTGGTAAAGATCAGAGACGAAGTCGACAACCTCACAGCAGGCAGCGAGAAAAGCTTTGAGAAGACCATTTCCGAACGATGCAATCCGACGTCAACGCCATACACATTCGCAGTTTTCTGTGAAGCTTTGCGCATCTTCCCGCCCATTCCTTTCGAGATCAAGCAGGCTGTTCAAGCCACGACACTTCCAGACGGAACATTTCTACCGCAAAACTCCGTCATCGTTTGGTGCACTTGGGCAATGAACCGTTCTCGGGTTACTTGGGGCCCAGATGCAGACCAGTTCCGCCCTGAGCGCTGGCTGGTTGATGGCAAGGTCCTCAACAAGACTACATCCGAGTTCCCGGTGTTCAATGGCGGACCTAGAACTTGCTTAGGCAAGAAAATGGCTGAGATTATAGCCGTCCAAGTCATTGCCACTGTGGCCGGGCTTTTCGAATGCGTCAGAGTTGACGCCTTTGAAAGAGTTAGCAAGAGTAGCCTCACACTGCCCATGAAGGACGGCCTGCCTTGCATGGTGCAAACCAGGCACGACGTGTGCAGCAAATGACGAAGTTTGCGGCACCCTCGCGATGTAGTCCCCTCGCTGAATACTTGGCATGTCATAATAAGCGATACCCTGAGCCTTACATTGGCATTATGAACATTTAAGCCAGAGCACATATTCTGTCGGTCATTTGACCAACCAAATTGAGGAGGCGGGAGTAGAGTTCCAACGTGACAAACCGACGCAAAACTTGCAGAGCACATAGAGCAAGAGGGCGACAAAAAAACAAAAAGAAAGCCGATAGCACAACCTGGTTTCGATCCAGGGACCTCTGGGTTATGAGCCCAGCGCTCTACCCCTGAGCTATTGTGCTTACTGAGGAGTTGCGTTGGCTTGTTTGCAGCGGCAAACCCATTGAGAATGTGTCACACTCGGTGGAGTACCTTCGGCCACACGCTCGGGAAACAGTGAGCGTCAAGCCTGGGGCTACGTGGAATTCCCTTTTTTTTTTTTTTTTTTTTTTTTTTTCCTTTTTTCCCCCCCTGTTTAACGCATTTTTGAGCTTCTTGAAGCTCAACTTCGGCCTGAAACACGATATCATTGACGTCAATCCAATCATCGTCCACTGAGTGCCCGCAGATCACTGCATGATCAGATTTATTATCGGAACCACCAGTTCACAGATGCATTGAGCCGCCCGTCATGATGCCCACTCTTGACGCTATGCCACCAACCCTTGGGAATGAATAAGGCGTCGCCAGGATCCAGTTTCGCTTCGACAAGGTCTTCAGGGCCTTCCGTACCCCAAACGGCCGTGTTCAAAACCACCCTCTCTCGACCCTCCATCATCTCAGACGTTCGAATCCGACTATTACCAGAATGCTGAATCTGCGTCTGCACTCGTCGATACAACCGATCTCCTGAGGAAGGCGGCAATAGTCTGATGGTTTTCTTGCCAACCAACTGGCAAAAGAGATTGGGGTTCGGGTCGCGATGCAGCGGTGTATAAGTTGGTTCCAAGCCGAGCCATATGCTTGAGTTGTAGACATCACCCTTACCAGCGTCTGTGACTATGCAAGGCACTGGAAGATCTTCCTGCAGTTCTATTGGTAGGTCTGGTAGCTGGGCCTGAGCGACGTAAAGTTGTTTAAGCTTCTTCTCGTGCAGCTTATTGAACTCGGCTGCTTTGAGCAACAGCAGCAATGGAGCGCTGAACGAGGAGAACCTTGGCTCTGAGGCGTCTGGGTAAGCGGCGGCGTGCACGATGCCGGCTAGCACGGTACCCAAGGGGTCTGAACCTGACGCAAGCCAACTTAGGAATTGGCTTGTGGTGTTGACAACCAAGCCTGTGTCCTCGGACAGCTGTGGGCTCATGAATTCGTATGGAAGCATATGATGAGCGAATCGGTCCATGTAAGGCGCAAAGCTCATGGGACGTTCTCCGTGATATGATGGCGATAGGCTGGTTTCATCTTGCGTGAACCACTTCGTCGACGCTGGGAAGGATGGGCGTTTTGGAATCGTATTTGGTTGCTTGAACGCCAGAGGCTTTCCCGCCTCAAAAGCCAAGCTTCTGAACTCAGGGACACCGACAGAGGCAAATGGCTCTTCGATAACGTTGAGGGTCTTGATCGCCGAGAAACATCGATGTGAGTGGAATGCTGGTTTCTCCCGGCCGAATCGCAAGCCGCATCTTATGGAGCGAGGTTGCATGGTGTCTGCCTCGGCTATCGAGCTCCCCTCCCAGAGGCTCAAACAATGCGCAGAGGGAAAAAGAGACCGAGAGAAGGTGGCTGCAATAACGGAGGAGAGCAAATTGACATCACGTGGTTCGACGGAAGAGACATTGTGATCTCGGTGAGGCCACCGCTCACCTTCGGTAAGATGCAGCGGAACAAATGTCAGGCCGCTTACCGAGCGTATCTGGTGCACAGACCACACCGATGATTGGCCGCAATCTCCTTCTCTAAGCGGGCTGGGCGTCGTCGTGAGGCACCACCGTCCACAGCCCACCAAGTTCAGCAAAAGCTGAGAGGCTCCCCAAAATCCAACCTCGTTCTCCCTCAGCAAAAAGAGGCCCGAAAAAAAGTATATCTCGACTCCAACCTTGGCTGCGCGCGGAACGTCCGATCTCTTGCGAAACCAACGTCGATTTTCGATTTCATCACTGCCGCCGACCTTGCTGTGCTTTGCGCTCGACATGCGCCGCGTCTGACCTCTTGACGCCCACCTACCCCGCCATCTTCGCGCCGCTGCTGTTGGCTGCTGGGTTATCACACACACTCAACTCGTACGGATAGAAGCGACTTCAATCCCATCCGTCGGATAACGCGTGTTCGCTCACGCGACAACTGCCTTGCTCTACCCGACACCCCCTCAATACCTTCACCTTGGATTACCTCGACGACATGTCCACCTCTTCGGGGGCCCCGGAGTCTTGGATATCTTCCTTCTGTTCCCTACTCGGCCATGAGTACTTTGCTGAGGTCTCGGAGGAGTTCATTGAAGATGACTTCAACCTCACGGGTTTGCAGAATCAAGTTGCGATGTACAAGGAGGCACTCGAGGTACGCATAACCATCCATCAGCTTCTCCTGGATCTCCCAATTTGCCACCCCCGCAGCACCCCAAGCATCTTCTTACGCTAACTTTTCTTTTGTGCAGATGATTCTGGACGTGGAACCCGAGGAGGATGATGAGGAGGAGGAAGAAGACGAGGAGGACGAGGAAGAAAACGACTCGGGAGACCAAGACCGGCTCGGGCCCAGGCATGACCGAAGACAGCACAGCCGGATGGCCAGCGACCTCAGCGTGATCGAGTCCTCCTCCGAGATGCTCTATGGTCTGATTCACCAGCGCTTTATCTGCTCGAGAGCAGGCATACAGCAAATGAGCGAGAAGTACGAGTTGGGACACTTCGGCTGCTGCCCACGCACGAACTGCGACCAAGCTAGGACACTTCCTGTTGGCCTCTCCGACATTCCAGGCGAAGACACTGTCAAGCTGTTCTGTCCTTCCTGCCTCGATGTTTACGTTCCCCCCAACAGCAGGTTTCAGACCGTGGACGGTGCCTTCTTCGGCCGCACTTTTGGTGCTCTGTTTCTTCTCACATTCCCTGAGTACGACTTAACCAAGCGTGGAGCCGAAGTACTCAGCAGCGGCGGTGCGCGCATCAATGACGACTCGCTCGAGGCGGTCAACGGAATGTACTCCAAGAACATTGCCCCCGGCTTGGGAGCGGGCCGGATATATGAGCCTCGCATTTACGGTTTCCGCGTCTCAGAGATTGCCAAATCTGGACCTCGGATGCAATGGCTCAGAGACCGACCGGATGATATGACGGAGTTGGACGAGGCGCGGCTATATGCTGACGAGCATCCCGATTCGGACGAGGAGGACGAAAACATGAATGGCAATGGAAGACCTGCCCCCAGACGCCGTGCCCTGCGTGGAAACGCGCGTCTTCGCCAGCAGCGGCAAGCACAGAACGGGAGCCCGATGAACGTTGAGACGAACGGTGCTGAATCTGAGCTCTGAAAGACGAGACGTTTTCAGATGATGCCAGCCTCGCAGTAGCCACACGGCTTGTTGGGACCTGGGACGAATAACGTTCGAGAAAGAGGACGCTGAAGGAAGAAGAGAGGTCCCACGACGGAGGAGAACTGCAGAGATGGAGGTGCTGCGTTCGAAGTGGATGCCCTGCATAAGGTAGAAGGCGTTTTGGAGGCAGTCCCCCGCCTAACCTCTAAAAAAGGGGTGCGGCGTTTGCTGAGGAAGGTGCATAACGGAAGTAAAGACTCTCACGCCGTCAACGAGTTCGGAATTCGATTCTCTTCGCAGGCAATAGTGCCTGCTGTATAGGCTTAATGCGACGGCCGCTGCATTTCTGGGCCCTTGGAGACAGAACATAGACTGCATGTAATTCGTCGGTCGATTCAAAGACTACTACTAACTTGGTTTTGCCCCTCCGCTTCATGGCCCGCATTGCGTTGTTTCGACCGTGGGGATTAATTACTATCATCAGCAACCCACTGATCTTCCCTCTGGATGACTCGCGGTTCCCATCATAGAGGCGAGAACCAGCTGATCACACCTCTCTAGAGCTGGCGAGGGAACATCTGAGTTCTGCAGGTGAGAGGAAATGTCACGTGAATGAATACAATGACGTCCATCGCTCCAGCAAGCCAGATGTCCAAATCCGCCCTATCTCAGGTCAACTTGCTTCTAGCGTGACAATGAACCAACATACGCAACCAAGAAACCCCGCCATTGACCGGGATTAATACTCAGTCCCCGCGTCTCCATCATGGCGGGGAACAGGTCAGCCTACAAACATAAGCTGTGACAGTACAGGCAGGGACCAATCGAATGGAGCTTCCAAGCCTGCACCCCTATCCCATTGGTCTAAGTGATCTCATCCAAGTATTAATGACAGAGGGATCAGCCGAGGCAGGGAGCGACGGTAATCGAAGGACACAGCTCTTGCGGTCTTCTGTCTGGTATTCTACGATGACCGCGGTGAAGGCTGTCATACCCTGTTTCCTCGGCGTGTAGGTAATGATTCGATCTCTCGCCCCAGTATGTAGCGTGCGAGTACGGTATCTGCTCTTTTTGAGCTTCAGCGTTCCCAAGCCCCCAGCCGGCAACAGCAGCAGCTTCCTCCACGGCTTCCCGGTCATCTTCGACTCTACTAATTTCTAGAGAAGGGGCGAAATAACAACGCAAAAAATCTCAGTTGAGTAAAGATTTCCAGCGAAACTTTTCCGAAAGCTCAAATCCTGCAGTGACTGTTTATCCGGTGATGTCACCCGGAACGAACGACTGCGGGGTGATGCATCTGCACTGGATAAAAGCACTTAGCGTTCCTCCTCATGCACCACAAATTGACAAACGATCGACCAGGCTGGTATAAGTTTAAATCATATCCTCGTTACTTGGTGATTGAAGAATTTTTGTATTATTTTAGAGGAGCGGTTGTATGTGCAACATGAGTTCTCTATCAACATGTATTCGGTGGCTAGTTGCGACGTGGTGTATCTTTCTTACTCCAAGTGAGACGGCCTTGACTTCTAATTCAACCTTCTATAACCCTGCCATTCCTGGATTTCACCCGGACCCAAGTTGTGCATTTGTCCCGGAATGGGACAACACCTTTTTCTGCGCCTCCTCGAGTTTCAACGCGTTTCCGGGCATTCCCCTCCATGCTAGTAAAGACTTGCAGAACTGGAAGCTAATAGGTATGTCCCAAGCAGCTCGTCTCAATAATCCGTGCTCATGGGACGCAGGGCATGCTCTTAATCGAGAGCATCAGCTTCCACGTCTGGTCGAGACCAATCGTTCGACTAGGTCAGTCGTCCGCCATTAACGTACGTGGCTGCTGGTGTTCACTAAGTCAGTGGCATTTGGGCACCAACATTGCGTTTTCACGACGAGACCTTCTGGCTAGTGACGACCCTCGTCGACGATGATAGACCAGCAGATGACGCTTCCAGGTGGGATAATGTCCGTCCACTCCCCCCTGTCTTTGGTCCTGGAGGCTTTTATGCTCAGTTTATCGCAGATAATTTTTAAGAGCAACAATCCATATGAAGCTTCTTCGTGGTCGAATGCAACCCATTTTGAGTTTGTGGGCTACGACACGGAGCCGTTCTGGGACAAAGACGGGAGGACGTACATCAACGGGGCACATGCCTGGAAGATTGGGTAGTTCTCATGCGTGAGCCAAAAGATTGAATTGCGTGCAGTGTGACTAACAGTAGCAAGTCCTTGGCTACAGCAAGCTGAAGCAAACCTCGATACTGGCGAAGTTGGAGAATGGAGAACAATTTGGAATGGCACGGGTGGCATGGTGACTTCACACAGACTCATGAACATCGAGGCACTTGACAGTTAACCCTGTTGTAGGCGCCTGAAGGACCACACATATACTTGAAAGATGGTCTCTACTACCTATTAGCTGCAGAAGGCAATGGCTCCAAATTCATGCGTATGAATCAGCGCTGACATAGACCAGGCGGTACTGGTGTCGACCACATGGTCACGATAGCTCGTTCGGAGAATGTTGGGGGTCCATATGAGTCGAATCCGGCCAACCCAATTCTCACCAATGCAAACACAACCTCCTACTGTAAGTTTCCGCGGGCTGTACTACGTTGCTTCTCTCTCTAGCAGCCTGAATGGCATACCAACACTCATCAGTCCAGACTGTCGGACATGCCGACCTCTTCCACGATGATTCAGGGAATTGGTAAGTCGTTTGAGTATTGTGGATGCCTATGTTAACAAGAATAAGGTGGGGTGTCGCTCTATCGACTAGATCTGGCCCTGAGTGGGTTTACTATCCCATGGGACGCGAGACAGTCCTGACCGCCGTGACCTGGCGAGAGGGAGAATGGCCGCAAATGTCAGCCATTCAGGGCAAGATGAGTGGCTGGCCCATGCCACCAGCGAATCTAGATGTTGAGGGCCCTGGGTAAGCAGACATTTGGCTCTTGTCTCTGGTATTTGGCTGACGTGTTCAGCCACTGGGTCATGTCGGGCGAAGTTGCAGCTGATAGTGTTGAGTTCGAGGCTGGTTCAGCACTGCCAGCTCATTTCACACACTGGCGTTATCCCGTCGAAAGCTCATATACAGTATCACCACCTGAACGTTCCAACAGCCTACGTCTCATGCCGTCAAAGCTCAACTTGACAGCCCACAATGGCAATTACGCCGGTCCTGGTGGGCAAACGTTCGTGGGTAGGCGGCAGCAGGATACACTCTTCACTTATGGCGTGACAATAGACTTTTCACCCACGCTAGAAGAGGAAGAGGCCGGCATCTCTGTCTTCCTAACGCAAAATCATCATCTCGACTTGAGTTTGGCTTTACTGCGAGCAAAGGGAACCACGCGGGCGCTTCCGGGGTATAACTTGACTACGGGGGATGATTCCGAAAATCTGGAATTACATTTAAGATTTCGGGGCGAGTCATATGTTCCCGTTCCAGACGAAATCACAGCTCCAGTGCCGGAAGAATGGGTAGCCTCGCCAATCAGGCTGGAGGTGAAGGCCGCGAACCTGACGCACTATTCTTTTTCGGCCGGCCCAGCCAATGCAGCTTCTCGAATGAAGACACTGGTATATGCGTCGAATGATGCTCTCAGCTGGGGCTTTACAGGTACTTGATCTAGGTCTGTGATTGAAATCTCTGCTAATGTGATGTAGGCGTCTTTGTCGGAGTGTATTGCACAAGTAATGGAGGGCTTGGCTCAACGCCAGCATACATATCAGACTGGACTTACATCCCTCAAGGCCAATTCAGAGCCTAGGAGGCTCGCATCGAGTTCTATCTTCAACTGCAGCCATCAACTGAAAAGACCATGCCTGGCCCATCTGTTGGAATAGTTGGTGACCGTTACGGGGGTCCATCATCTTCTAGGGATGGAGGGACTCGAGTATCCGTACTGGCTGCATCTGCAGTCACTTGTTGATGGAAACAGAAAAAGGACACTATGCCTAATCGGAAAAAAAACACATATTCTCCACCATACCTGTCCCCAATATCCCCTTGTCTTTGCGATTGTATTTGCTCTTTTTGTATGTAACCCCGCTCGGTTGCTAACATGAGATATTCCCAGACTTCGGGAGGCAACATGTTTAATGTTGATTAGATGGGGCTGAATGTGACGCCCTATCACTTGAACATGCCAATGACCAATAGTATCTTAAGCCCTATGTAAGCTTCGGTACCTGAATGAGGACTTGCATATCAGCAAGGTTGGAGGCGATGTGCTCTTCCCATCACGCTTGGACTACGTGAGTAAGCACATGTTGTGCGTGCAGATCTGGACCGGCATGTCGTAGCTCATGACTTCCAGCAAGCTGCGCATGTCGAGATTGCTAGTGCATGTCTTGCTGGATAGAATTGTTAACGCAAAGAGGGGAAGTGCGGCTCATCGGCAGCGGTCGCCGGTTTCGCACCGAGCATCGCCAGTGAAACAAGCCATGTCAGATGGGCATCAGCAAGATAAAGTCGGCCAAGCGCCCTCGTTTAAAACACACGACTGCGATCTCCAACGAGCCAGAGTCCTCAAATGACAAACGAATTCTTTGAAAGTGCGGACGTGCCCGCAGAGCAAACATGGATGTACGAGAAAGAGCTGCCTGAGGGGTATGAAGCGTCCCGCGCTCTTCTCCGAGACTACAGTGGCATTCCCGCAGGGGAGATGGACAACCACATACGAAGGATCGTAGGTCGATGGCGCGATCATAGGATGAGACCGAAAGCTGATGAAGAAAGCGCGACTCGCTGTGGAAGGTTTTCCACTACCCGTGCATCGGGCGCTGGCGGTTTCTCCTGCTGGCCGACCCACAGGATGCGTTGTATCAAAAAGTCCTAGGCCGACTAACTCAAGCGGACTCGGGAGACACGCTGCTGGACCTGGGCACTTGCGTCGGGCAAGCTCTACGGCAACTCGCACACGACGGTGTTGATAGCTCCCGGCTTTACGGAGCGGATGTGCAACGCGAGTTTCTGGACATCGGCTACGATCTGTTCCGGGACAAGGGCCGGTTCCGGGGTACGCTTGTGGCGGGTGACATCTTGGACCCGGCCGACACGGGTCTCTCTGTGCTTAACGGACAAATCAGCATCATCTGGGCCAATGCCTTCTTCCACTTGTTCGACTGGAAGCAGCAGGTAATGGCAGCGGAACGCATCATCAAGTTCCTCAAGCCGGGACTTCAAGACGGGCTTGTCTTCGGACGGCATCTGGGGACTACGGAGCCGAAGGAAAGCGACAACAGGGGGCGGCGGATGTATCTGCACGATCAAGCCAGCTTCCAGCGCTTATGGGACGAAGTGGGGGCGAAGACGGGAACAAAGTGGAAAGTATGGTGGGAGCATGTGGCCGCGGTGGACTCGCTCCCAGGGTTCGGAGACACGGCCAGGATGAGTCGGTACGCCGTCTACCAAGTGAGGAGGGACTGACGCTTTTCTGCGCGCGCGGCTGCTTAGAAATTAGTATGCTTACCAAAGATGCATGGCGTCAGTGCATAAGGTAATAAAATGGACACGTCCAGAATGACCAGTGAGAGTGAGGTACGGTTGGCTGGCCCAAAACCTCAGCAGTAATTACCAAATGGCACAGATAATAAAGCAGCTGCTTGCCTTCTCTTGAACCCCACGAGTACCTACCTAGTAGTATATATGACAGTCGGCAACCCCTCATGGATGATGAGCAAGCAGTCTTGCCAATAAGATTAAGTAAGTATCCTTGTCGTGGAACTCCGACTGAACCAACCAACCACTGCAACCTCCAAAGCTAAAAGCCACCACACAGACTAATATCATCTCTTGAAATGGCCACCAATCCCCCGCGTTACACCTTCGTGTCGCCATCCGAGGGCTACGAAAATGCACCTCCTCTACCCAGCGATCTCAACGAAGATGGCAAAAGCTTTAGAAATCCCCCACGTGAAGGGCTGAGCGAGGCGTACGAGTCGTTCCCGGCTCCGCTTTCGAATGGGCGTCGAGGAGGCTTGTAAGCGGCATTGAGCTTCGACCGTCCTTACCCGTAGGACTAACATCAATACAGTGACATCCATATCTACCATTTCCAGAACAACCCGGACCAGGTCAAGCATGCCAAGGACTTGTGGGAGCGCATTCGACGAGAGTGTAAGTCGGATCAAGGACCGAGTAGAAATAGCTCTCACTGACGACTGGATGATTACTATCTTAGTCCCTGAGCTGAGAATTTACCGATTCTGGGAGAAGCCCGTCGGCCCGCACCCTGTCGCCATGTTCGAGGTCAATCTCTTCACGCCTGCACAGTTCGGTGCCTTTATCCCGTGGCTAGCCATCTACAGAGGGCCCCTGTCAGTACTCGTCCATCCCAACACAGACGAAGAGGGCAACCACAATGCCATTGAGCTGCGCAACCACACACAACGCGCCATCTGGATGGGCGAGAGAATACCTCTGGACACGACTCTCTTCTATCGCGACTGATCCTGCACCGGACGCGGATAGCAGCTGTTCATTTGAAGACCTACGTATCCGCAAGATGTGTCGGGTATCGTTCCAAGATCAGGAACCCACGTTGATACTACGTCGGAAGCAGTTTGGCGCCGATGTGCGGACGGGACACTTGGAGGAGGGCCCTAGGCCTGAAGTACGTACCCAAGTATAAGAGTCACATTTATTGCTGTATTATGTATGCCATGCGCGCGCGATAATGGCCCGTGCGCTCATGACGTTGTGCGCCCAGTGTCCAGTGTCAGCCTAGCAGGAGCGACCGCGACGAGTCAAGAAGTCAAGCTTTGCCTGTCTTTCACCAACGACTTTCTGTGAACATCGCCTCCAGTCATGCAGTCTTTCGAAGACCTATCGACACTTTCATAGCATATGCAAATTCTTCTGCAATTGCCGCCGTCCAGTTGAAGTCTTCCCTTCCTGGTCGATTGCCATGATGGCTGGCCGCAAAAGAACCAGGGCATCTCGGTCGCAGCCCGCTACCCCCGGCCTGCCAAATGTCTACCAAGAGATGCTGCTTGAGGCAGGCGCTGGTACTGGTCCTTCCACTCCAGCTCCCTCCGAGCCGCCGTTGAAGAAGCTTAAGCGACCTGGAGAGAAGACTGCCCGAGTCGATCCGCCCAAGGCCCCAGAGCCGGACGAAGACGAAGATGATGAAGATATTGAATTTGAAGACGTAGCTCTCCCCCCACCTATTTTCCAGACCATGGAAAGAGATTCAGACGAGGAAGAATCCGAAGATGACATCGAATTCGAGGATGTCGATTTGGGCGCCGTACACCCGGATGTGGAGGTCACAGAGGAACCGAAAAGGCTTACACTCAATCTATCAGCCCATACGCCGACAACACCTGCAACCAAGAAGGGCGCCCATAGAAGAAAGCCAATCTCGAAAGAGGAGAGGGAACGCCGCATAACAGTACACCGGACACATCTGCTCTGCCTGATGCTGCACTGCGCTTTAAGAAATCGATGGTGCGACGATGGAGAAGTACAGAAATCAATGCGTTCTCTTTTGACCAAGAAGATCGTCAATTATCTGAACCCATCATCTGATCTGCCACAATTTGGTCAAACACAATCTCTCAAAACTGGTCTTGAACAAGCTGGGTCCATTTTCAAGGCCAAGTTTCATATCACAGAAAAGGGATTGCGCCGGGCTCTTTGGGCTGAGGACCCCGAGCACATCTCCAAGGTACGTAGGCCGCTTCCACACGGTCTCGAGACACATCATGGCTGACTCACCTTGCAAGTACGAACCACCGAGCAATATGGACTCATGCTTGGAAAGATCTGATTTCAGGGAGGCTGCCAGAAAGCTACAAGGCTCTCGAGATGTTGGTGCTCAGCTATTCTGTGCCCTGCTGCGATCTGCTGGGATCCGCGCCCGCTTGGTTTGCTCTCTGCAGCCACTCTCTTTCGCCTCAGGTGGTCCAACGCTCCCCAAACCCCGCAGCCTGAAGACACCATCAAAGCCTACAAGAGCAGAACAGATTCAGGCACAGGTAGCCAAGTATTCAATGGCTGGAGAAGGAT